GGGGGGGGGGGGGGGGGGGGGGGGGAATCTCCTCTTACCCATAGAAGTTCTCAAGATAGCTGCCCCACTGCTGGGTTTCTTGTTATAAATTTAGTGTGCTGCTGCTCACTAAATATCCATGTACAGTCCTCTTGAAGAAACTGCTGATTCCCTAGCTGTGGGGTTTTCTCCCAACAGGGAACCTCAGTCTGTTATCCTGGGGCGCACAGTTCTGTCCGGGAAAGTGGGAGGTGCACTCAGCAAGTCTCTGGGCCAGAGGGTGATTGCTCTGCTCTGGACCTGGAGAATGTGCCCCTAGGTTGAGTTGTCGCCTGGAGGCACTGTTCTGGTCTGGAGGCTGGGTGCCTCACTCTCGACCAGAAGCTGTGTGTCTCTGTCTGGGATGGCGGCTGCAGGCACTGCTCTGGTCCAGACGCTGTGGGTGCAGCCCTCTTGTAAAACCAGGGATTCCCACAGTTTTGACAGTCTAGCTAGGAATAACTGGTTGATCCTTGGCACAGTATCTGAGGGCTGCTGTAATGGCTCTCTGGCTTTTGTAGGTCTGAGGATGCAGCTGTGTGTCCCAGTGCCCCAGGGGAACTCAATAATGGCGGCTGAGCACAGCGCTTCTGCCTGCACTAGAGTCTGCGTGAGTCCAGGAAGTGTTTTGGTGCTGGGTGTCCTAAGCGTTAGAGCTGCTGACCCCCTCCGCTGGGGGTTTCCTCCTGCCAGAGACACGCAGTCTGGTGCCCTGGTGCCCTGGTGCCCACAGTTCTATCTGAGGCGGCGAATCACGCGCGCAGGCAGGTGCCTGTGTCCCGGCTCTGGGTCCGGACTGGCTCTTGGGGTACCCGCGGAACCCGAGTCTTTTCCAGGGGATGTCTGGGTAACCTGAGGTTGGTCCCAATTGTTTCCTGCTCCGTGGGGTTATCTCTCGACTGGGAAATCCAGTCTATGGTGTTGTGGGCCCACAGTTCAGTCTGGGACCGTGACCAGATTGCGCTGGTGGGTAGCTCTGGGCTGGCGACCTAGCGCCTGGCGGAACCGGGATCTCTTCCGCGGTTTAGCCGGGTGAGTTAAAGCTGATTGAATCCCCCACCGTGAGGTATCCTCTCACCTGTGAAACATAATCACTTGTGTTTTATGGCCGCGAGTTCTGATTGCTGGTCACTGTGCCAATCCTGCTGTGTTGCTCCTCAGAATGAGAGTCCTCCCGGCGCCCTGTTTGTTTCCTCTTCATGTGCCTCTATTTGTTTGGCTGTATTTGCTTGTATTTCTTTGAGAGCTTTTTTCATTTCCTCTTTATGTGCCTCTAATATCTAGATAAACATAGATTTTAGATCATTTTCCTGTGTTTCAGATGAATTAAAAAAAATCCATTGATTTTTGGGGTTGCTGGTGAAGCCATGATGTCCTGATTTTTGTTGGGTATGTTCTTATGCCAGCTTCTAGCCATATGCTTATCTGTAGCCTTCACTGTTTATTCCTGGAGATTGTACTGCAGACTGGGTCCATCTGTCTCTGGAGTCTGGCATATTCTTCAGGAAGATAAGAGAGGTCCATTGGCTTGATGTTGATGTTTCACATGTAGCTAAGGGAAGAAGGTCGCAGGCGCACGGGAGTGTGCGTGGAAGTGTGCCTTGAAGGGCTGGGTGCTAGTGTGTGTACACTCCTGGAAGGATGGAGTGTAAGCGCAGGTAAGGGTGCTGGTGAGGTTCCCGGGTGCAATACACATGTGCAGGTGCCCTAAATGGCTCAGTGGCCCACAGGCCTGTCGAACTATGCTCCAGGGACTCAGGTCTGTCTGGGCTGCATGATCGTGGCTCCAGGAATTGTTTGCCTGGATTCCACTGGGAGACCCACAGGGCAGGGATGTCAATGTTGAGAACGCTGTTCCAGGGATTCCTGTGTTGCACACAGTGGGGTGTGGGTGGGAGGGATCTGATATCTGGCTGCTAGCACAGAGGGACTCTGGGTCTGGAGCTCTGCATCCATTCACTCAAAGGCGTACTCACTCATAGGCGTATGTGGAAAGCACAGGGGCCCACGGTTCTCTGTTTTCAGATTTGGGCCCACAGGGGCAAGTGAAAGTATAGGAGATCCGTCAAGTGCTGTCCACTGTTTGGCTGCTAGAGCAGGGAGACCCGTACTTGGGGCAGCCACCACTGCTCCTGGGGCAAGAGAAAATGCAAGGGATCAAAAGTTTGCCATTCTCAGACCCTAGAGACATCCACGGGTGACCTGGATCCAATCTGTCCCCACTCAAGGGTTGTTCCCTCCAGCCCAGGAAGCCTCAGAGTCTATGTTTTGCCTTCAGCTGTTCCTCCACTCACCAGTTTTGGAGTTTTGGATCCTCTGTCCCTCCGATATGGTGCACACTGTCACTGCCATCTTAGAGTCCCCTGTGCCTTGCTTTTTAAGTGGGTGTTGGGGATCGGAAATTAGGTCTTCATGCTTGAGTAGCCTGTAGAATTAATATTCACACTGACAGATACACACTGATGGAGCCATCTCCCCAGCACAATCATAGTTTTCTGACAGATGAGGCAACGGAGGATCTTGAGCTGACAGAGAAAACCTAGACTGGAAGGTGTGTGTGTGTGTGTGTGTGTTCCTTACTCTTCCACTAATAATAGTGGGGGAGAGGGTAAGAAGGCTTAACATGAGGATTCATGCCTCTGTGTCATGTGGAACAAGGGAGGTGGGCTTCTGTTTGTACATGCCAGTTGCCAGCCAAGGTGGGCCTGGGAGTAATATTCAGGCCTCTGCATTGCAGGTGGAAGCCTTTGCAAGTGGAAAACATGGAAGCTGGCCTGGGTACACATAGCAGTGTCAGGAAAGGAGATTTTTGTGGGGGAAGGTGATGATGGTAGCTCTACATTCTCATGGGTGGCTACTTTTATCTCTTAGCAGGGGCTGGAGCAGTGACATATGGAAGCTTCCGTATGGAAACATCACTGATAGAGGTGGATGAAGTGCTCTTGGATTTAGTGATGGCTTATGTCAAAGATCAGATGACCCCAGCATCAAGGATAAACTCTGGGCCCTGGGTGATGAGAGAGGTTTGTATACCAGGGTACCAAACGCAGGGTGGGTACTAAAGGGCTAGAGAGCATGAGGAGAGCAGGGGGTTCAACACAGGCAGGTGGCCTGCCATGGAAATGTGGCCTTCTTTTCTTCCTCACTCTTCCCCTCTACAATTGAATGTGTGTGCCACTAGGCTCTGCTGCCCTGATACTTCCTGAGTTTTCATTTCATCCCTGAAGGATGGAATGTTTTCTCTTAGGAAATTGCTCTATAGCATAGTCACTGCCATGTCAGTACAAGAGATGAGATGCAGTGGGCTAAGCAATGGCTCTTGTCAGGTGGCCACGTCCATCCTAAAATGGGTAATCATCTGGGTTTCTTGAGACAGATGAGTTTGACAAACAGAAGCACAGCTGGATGGCTTAGATAGTTCAGAATTGAAATGACATCTCTAAGGAGAAGGAGTAGTTTCTGGAATATCTGCAATCCTGCTTTGTGAGGACACAAGAGCCCATCATGAACTTGATTCAAGGTAAATGCCAGCATCATCAGACTAATCTTATTTTCCTACCACTGGTATCCATTACATTCTTACCCCTGTGATATAAGCAATTTAGAATGCTTTATTTTTACTCATAGTTTGAGTAGATACTGTTTACCATGGCAGAAGGAGTATGAGGCACCTCGTCACATTGCACCATAGTCAAGAAGCAATGTAAGAGAGACAGACAGAGAGAGAGAGAGACAAGGCAGAGAGAATGAGAGACATAGAAGAGAGAGAGACAAGACAGAGATACACACAGATAGAGGAGAGACAGAGATAAGACAAAGACACACACAGAAAAGAGAGAGGAAGAGAAGGGAGAGGAGAGAAGGGAATGCTCAGTTCATTCTCTCTTTTTTATTCAATTGGTGACCCAGGCCTCTGGAATACTGCTGTCTGTTTTTTGGGGTGGGTCTGTGAGTCTTTCCATATTCAATTAAAACTCTGTCACCTTGAAGGTCAGTGCTTCACTGGGGGACTTTAGAGGAATGACAATACATGCCATCCCATGATGTTTACTTTGCACCTTTTAATTTCTGCATCTAGGTTTACTCCAGTATGTTTTTACTTTTCTGAGTAAAACTGGAATTTGATTTTGGAAATGGGAATGGGGAACTGTTTACAACTTCCTCTATAAACATGGTAAGAATGCTCCTCTCTTCATCTCCCTAATCTCCCATGGGCTGGGGTAGGCTGTGGAGAACAAGGGGTAAACTCAGCTTGTCCCTTTCCTGGAAATGTAGGGGTGGGGATGGTGTGATGCTCACTGGTCTGAGTGGCAAAACTTCTCCATGGTAGTGGTGAGAGAGAGAGACACAAATTTTTATAGAAGGCATGATAAGGTTCCTGAAATGTTGCTATTTTTCTTTGACTCTGAAATGATGTAGATATCCACCATAGTTTATCTTTTCATGATCTGACATTCATCACTCACATAGAAAGGCCTCTTAAGCTATTAAGGTTACTTAATAGCTTTCACAAAGTTCTATCTTCTTTATATATGAATATCTTCTTCCAAACATTTAAAGTTCATCCATCACTCTTTTGTGATAAGACTACCTACAATCAACATCTTTGTGCCCTGATACCTTTATAGTTTAGAAAAAAGTGAGTTTCCTAGGAAGATGAATTCCACAATATTGTTAGCTTGGTCAGCACCATACATGTTTTGAGAAGTTGTATCACTCTGTTTTTTGTGGTTATAACAAAATACCTCAGGCTGGGTACTTTTTAACAAAAAGAGGTTTATTTAAGTGATAGCATTAGAAGATGAAAGTCCAAAATCAGGTGGCTTTGTCTGTTTACCCTTTTATTAGGGTGTTCCTGGTTGCAACATAGTGTTGCATAGAAGGGACATAGTCATGGATGTATGTATACATACTTTGTGCTCTCCAGAGCTAATTCACTGCAACACAAATCCCTTCTAAGACTGGTGCTTCTGTCTTCCACTAAGGCCCTTCTCTTAAAAGGTTTCTCCATGAGATGGCTCAGAGGTTAAGAGGGCTGGCTGTTCTTCCAGAGGTCCTGAGTTCAATTCCCAGCAACTATATGGTGGCCCACAACCATCTAGAATGAGATCTGGTGCCCTCTTCTGGCATGCAAGCACACATAAATGAATAAATAAATCTTTTTTTCTGGCATTTTAAAATATCTTTATTATTATTATTATTTTAAATTATTTATTAATTACACTTTATTCACTTTGTATCCCCCCTGTGGTTCCCTCCCTCCTTCCGTCCCAATCCTTCCCTTCCTCCACCCTCTGCACGCATGTCCCTCCCCAAGTCCACTGATAGGGGAGGTCTTCTTTTCTTTCCTTCTGATCCTAGTCAATTAGGTCTCATCAGGAGTGGCTGCATTGTCTTCTGTGTCCTGGTAAGGCTGCTCCCCCTTCAGAGGGAGGTGATTAAAGAGCAGGCCAATCAGTTCATGTCAGAGACAGTCCCTGTTCCTATTACTATGGAACCCTATAAATAAATCTTAAAAAAAAAAAAAAGGTTCCTCCATGTTAGCACTTCCTACTGCTGACCAAGCTTTTAGTGCATGAGCCTTAGAAAAGCACAGTCAAACCATGTCTAGACAATGGCAGAAGTGATCTCTAGCTGGACATGGATCTCAGTGTTACCTCTCTGAGATAGCATTTCTCTCTGCACAAACTGCTTCCTATACCTATATTCTGACCCTAAATTAGACAAGTTTTTTCCCTATATTTAGGTAACATCACAGATGAGGCCATGAATAGCAGGGAGTTTCTTCATCTGGTGGATGCTGGTTTTGCTATCAACACTTACTATTCACTTATTCTGCCTCCAGTAAATGAAGCTGACCTCATCCTCTCATTTGACTTCAGTGCTGAGGACCCATTAGATGTAATTGTAAAACAAAACAAAACAAAACAAAACAAAACAAAACAAAATACTTTTCTGTATTTGAAGGAAGGAAATAGGTTTGGGTAGAGGTGGGGCTGTACAGGAAGAAACTCAGGCTCTGGCTAAGAAGTGAGTATTGGGTAGTGGTTGTCTGGGGGCACTATGGCATGCATGCATCCCCCAGCTTCATGCATGGACACATATCGTAACCGTAAATTTAAAAACTTTAAAGATACTTGCACTCTGGCAAGATGGGTCAGCAGATAAAGTTACTTGTTGCCAACCTGAATTCAATCCTCCAGACCCATGCGATGGATCTCATAAATTGTCTTCTGATGCCACACACAAACTGTAGCACACATATGTACACACACACATACACACAAATAAGTATACTTAGTATGAGTTTATATATTTTATTTTTAAGGTATACATACTTACATAATATGCATTTGCATCTTTTATAAATTCATACAAATATATAAAAATATATTTATGTTTGATCAAAATAAGATCATCATGCTTGGCAGCAAATGTCTTTACCTGCTTAGCCTTATCACTGGTTGATAAAGACTTATATTTCATATTTATGTTTTTTTTGGCTGACTATTATAGTTAGATATGAAATGTATCCCAGACACCTATGTTTGTATGTGTGTGTGTGTGTGTTTGAGCTAGGGTTTTTCTGTGTGGCCTTGGCTGTCCTGGGCTTGCTTTGCAGACCAGGATGGCCTCGAACTCTCAGATAAACTTGCCTCTGCTTCCCAAGTGCTGGGATTACAGGTGTGTGCCACAGTTCTTAAAACAGAAGCTCATGTTTTAAGAATTTGGTCCTTAGTGTGTAGAGATTAGAGAGTGTCAGAATATTGACACAGATGCACCTAGTGCAGTGGTTCTTAACCTTCCTAATGTTGCAACCCTTTAATACAGTTCCTTGTGTTGTGGTGACCCCCAACTATAAATTTATTTCTGTTGCTACTTCATAACTGCAGTTTTGCTACTGTTATGAATCATAACAGTAAATGTATTTACATAAATGTAAATGTCTTAGGTGACCCCTGTGAGAAGGTCATTTGACCACCAAAAGGGTTGTGACCCACAGGTTGAGAACCACTAGTCTAGTGGGAGTTCTCTAGTTTACTGGGTTCATTCTCTCAAAGGATAGCATGATCCTTTATTTTTCCGCTCCCTGACTTGTGAAGTGAGCAGTTTTTCTCTGTCATACACTAGATCATGGCCTGGAACCTGTAAGTTTGTGAGCCCAAATCAACCTTTTTCCTTTGTGAGCTGATTGTCTTGGGTATTTGCTACAACAATGAAAAGCTGGCTGACTTACTTCCATTGTAACCATTAGGTTATTTAAAAGCATTTGTGTGGCTGACTTTCCATTTTTGTTAGTCATCAATGGAAACTGGTTTTGTCTCCTACCATTCATCTCTCCCTGTGAGGTAGATGTTAAAAAGTCTCTCAGGGAGGAAATGAGATTGGCTAGTTCTAAATATCTGTGGGTGTTCTCTCATCTGAGTACATTGTCCTTCATAATCCTATTCTCAAGTCTTGCAGAAACTGTTGATTGGCCCTCATCGAATCAGAGATGTCTTCTCTTCAAACCCAAACCAACCATGTGCTTTCTAACCTACTCTTGAAGTCTTCGCTGAGGTTCTAGTATGTTTCAAGGCTCCTTATTTTCCCCTACTCAGACCATCAGGAACACAGCAGACTACTGCCAATGTCATGCAGTCCCCTTCCCTGAAGTGAGAGAGGATCAGCGGAAGGAGTGGGCCAAAGCCCCACTGCACTGCTACATCCTTAGAGGGGAAACAGGACCTGTTGTTATGTACTTCTCTGTTCAACAAAGACAACTGTGGAGGTAGGTATGTGAGGAAGAGCAGGGTAAGGAACCATGGGAGCTGGGCTGGCAGGGCTATAGCGAAGGGACACCAGGTCCACATTTCAACATCTAAAGCTCAAGAGGGTAAGTAGGAAGCCTCTTATTATTCACCCTGTGGTCTCCAAAAGGGTGTCATATTTCCTCTTTATGTCTTGGACATTTCTGCCTGTTGCCTCCTTTTGTTGAGATCTTCTTGTCCTAGCTAGAAGTCTGACTTCTTCCACCTGGGCATCCACATTCATTATACAGTCCTTGGTGAACAAGTCTAGGTGGCCCTTAGCATGTAGCATGGTGACCTTGTCAGTCTCAGCTCTGCTGTTTACCACACTGGACTCACTGGGCCTCTCCACCATTCTGCCTTCAGAGGGGGATTCTCTATAAGGGATAAAGTATAAAGCCTGTCTTCTTTCTATTATTGCCCAAGCTGGCTTTGAGTTCAGGATCCCAATCCCTCAACCTTCCAAGTGCTGAGATTGCAGGTATGAGTCATATGTGGCTTTACATGTTCTTTTTACTGGCCAAAGAGGACAGAGGCTTTAGATCCTGCAGAGCTGGAATTACAGATGGTTATGAACCATCTGACACAATGGGAACTGAAGTTCAGTCTTCTGAAAGAGCAGTATGAGTTTTCCTGAGCCATTTCCCAGCCCCTGTTAATTTTAAGACAGAGTTCTCACTATTTAGCTTAGCTTCAGCTCAAAGTCATAATCCTACCTTGGTTTCCAAGTGTTACAATAATAGGTGTATACTACCATGTCCAGCTTATGTATCTACTTTCTTCCTTCGTTTATTTTTTCTTTTTTGAAAGATGTTTTATGTGTATGGGTATTTTGTCTGCATGTATGTATGCATCATGTGCATGCCTGGTGCCCAAGGAGGTCAGAAGAGGGCATCAGATTCCTGGAAATGGAGTTATAGATGGTTGTGAGTCTTTGTGAGCCACCACATGGATGCTGGGAATTGAGCCCATGTCCCCAGGAAAGCAGTTATTATTAACTGCTGAGCTATCTCTTCTCCCTATCTTCCTTCTTTTAACAAATATTAGTTGCCTGCATTAGTAATATTCCAGGTAAATATGGAAAAGGAGACATTCTCTTTCCTTTGTGCAGGTTTGGAGAATAGATGTTAAAACATATGCTTCATTTCATAAAGCAATGTATACCAACACCTCTTTATTTATAAAGCCAAGTGGTGGGCCAGCTGGATTTGGGCTGCAGAAATAGTTTACATACCCAACATAAATGGATATAATCCTAACTTGACATATGTTTTTCTTGGCCTGGTTCTATTTCAGATGGCATTGAGACATGGAGGAAAAAATATGAGGCAATGAAACTATCTGACTTCTACACACCAGGCCTGGTGATGGATTAGCTGAAAGTTTCTAAGGAGAATGTTCAGAAAAACAAAGATAATATTCTCAATGAAATAAGGAAAGTGGCTGGGTGAGTGTCTGGCTACAGCTGCTTTGACCTTTGAGTTGAATCTAGGTAATATCTGTTGCAGAGCTAACTTTTAGTAATCTGGTGAAAGGTTGTGGGTATGGTTGGTAATTGAGCCCCTGCCTGGAATTAGCCAAGTGAGGGGCTGGAGGGAGTGTGTCAGTGGGAGCTCTTGTCTAATATCCTCCAGCTAGGGGTTGCGGATATGGCTCAGTGGTAGAGGACCTGCCTAGAATCCCTCAAAAAGGGGCTAAGGGTGTGGCTCAATGGTAGATGCCCTGCCTAGAATCTCTAAGTGAGATGTTGGTGGTGTGGTTCAGTGGTAGATGCCTTGCCTAGAGCCCTCCAGCAAGGGATTAGGGGTGTGGCTCTGTGGTTGAGTACTTGTTTAGTGTATATCAGACCCTGGGTTCTATACTCTGTACTGAAAATAAAAAGTTATGGGAAGAGAAAAACCATTTCTTTCTACTTGAGCTTGTTTAGGGGAGAAGAAAAAGCAGCAGTGCTGGAATGAGTGGCTTTCTGAAGCACAAAGCAAAGTGGACTAGGTTGCTCTGGCTTTTGGGGTCAAATGGCTGAGGATTTTCTAGTAATGAGAGTATACACTAAATGGCCACCCCCATCAGAGCTCCTAAAAATTGACAGTGAGTCCTCACTCACAGCCCTAGGCATCAGAAATGTCTATCAGATGACATTCAGAGTTATTTTCATTCCACTCTCAGGAAACCTGGGAACTTCCCAAAGGTGTATAAGGAGGACTGCTTGGGGGACACAGTGCAGGATGTCCAAGGCTCTCAGACTGTGGAGATCAAGATATCCAACAATCTCATGGACTTGTATAGGGGTGTGGGAGGAGATGACGGATGGAGGGTGGGGTTGGGATGGATGGAGGGAGCTGCAGTTGGGATGCAAAGTGAATAAACTGTAATTAATATAAAAACAATAAAAAAATACCCAACAATACAAACATAACATTCAAGAATCCCTTGTAAGTTTTATCTTTGTGTTATCCTCCCAAATCCTGCTCCAAGACATCTCCAAACCCCATATGTGATCAGTGGGTGTCTCTGTAAGGTTTCCAGTTCAGAGGCAAGTCTTAGTGTGTGATGGCAGATCAGATAGATGAAGACAGGTTAAGCCTCAGCTTTTCCTTTAATGAAGATTTCTTAGCATGTGTGCTAATAGTAGGTTAAAGTAAGTTTGTAATGATCTCACTGTTAAAAAAAAGATTTGCTTATCTTAATGTGTAAGTATTTTTCCCTGCATATATACACTTGCACCATGTATGAAGTAGAGGCTGGAAGAGGGCATTGGATACCCTGAACTGGAGTTACAGATGGTTGTGAGCTGCCATGTATGTGCTAGGAATTGAACCTGGGTCTTCTGCAAGTGCGCCAAGTGCTCTTAACTGCTGAGCCAACAGTCTTACTTTTAAAAACATAATACTTTTACGTTTTCTTTGAGAATTTCATATATGTATATGATGTATATGATTTTGATCATATTTACTCTGCAAAACCTAGTACTTCCCAGATAACTTCAGATCCCCCTCCAGACTTCATGTCCTATTTTTTTTTTTTTTTTTTTTTTTTAATAAACCACTGAGTTCATTTGGTGCTAACCATATGTGTGTGGATGTGTGAGTCATTCATTGGAGGTTGGTCTGTAGACCCACCAGGAAGACATAGTAAAGAAAATAGATCCTCTCTACCCCAGAAGCTTTCATTTTGTAAGTAGATCTTCATGTAGGGATATGGGCCTGGGGCACCCTGCCCTTCCCCAACCCATTAGGTGCTGTTGACTGGCTTGATATTGTATAGGAAACCCCAGCTCTAAGTTCATGAATGTAGCAGTGGTCCTGTCTAAAACGATCTTATTTTTTGAGGACCTGATCCTTCTTTTAGACTCCTGTGGTTTTCTTTAATCTGGAAGGAATTGCCATTTGTTTGATGGTAGGCACCATGTTATGTGGCAGAGCTGAACACAGTTTCTCTCAGCTGCCTCTGCTCACAGGCAATGAACTTGGTTTTCTTGTCATCAAGCACTTAAATGGTGAACTGGGTGAATCGGGGTTGCAAAGCACAGGGAAAGAGGGCTAGCCATAAAGTCTGTGGCTTCATTTAAAAAATTCCATATAAAAGAAAACCACATGCAAAGAATCTGGAGTAGAATGACCTTGATGTATTGAATAAACAAGAAGAAAACTGTTATTGATGGTCAGTGTGAAGATGCAGGAAACACAGAGTGAACTATGATGTGGATTTTGACAGGTTTAATATTTGATGTAGATTAAATAGCTAACTCTTTGCCTAGATTTGTCCTGCATCTGAACAGTTGTCCCTAGCCTTGATATCATTAGATAAACAAATACTTACACAATAAGCATAAATGATGGGACTGCCCCTTAAGGTGGGATTAAATCTAGGTATTCTTGTGGAATAAGAAACTATCTTTCTTCAAACCCATGTGAAGGTCTGTAGAGGCCTCCAGATCTTCTAGTCTTCTCCAACATTCAAGGTTACCTGCATAGATCAATAGTGACTTGTAACTCCCTTTTCCCAGGTACTACTTGCAGAGGGGGCAGGTATTAACGGACCCACCACCTGTGCTCTCTCCAGAGTCAGCAGTTCCTTTGTGAAAAAGCGCTGCAGCTTCCAGGGCACTGTGGGCCTATTGGTCTACCAAGGCCCAAGTGTCCATCTTGCCTTTATGTTCTTTGTTCCCTTCAACTATTCACTTCACAGAACGGAGTTTGCCGTAGACATTATAATTGAGCCAGTTTCCAGGAACCTGGAGAGTGTCTTTGACAGCATTCAGGGCAATGGGTCTCCAGAGCTAAAGGTGGAAAAGTATGTTTTTCAGATCCCCCAAGGGGATCCTGAAGTTAGAACATGATTCCTTGATTATCAGAGCTACCATGTCCAACGTCCATGTGGCTAAAATGAATGTAGTGGTTGAGACTAAAGCTTCTTAAAATTTTCTTTCATTGGGATAAAGCTGCTCATTTTATACTTCCAGTCAGACTGCTTGGCTCTGTTAAAAAAGAAACCTGTTAAAAAAGAAATTATAGCCCATCTCTGCAGAGCCAAAAAAAAAAAAAAAAAAAAATCCAAGAAGACAAATATTCTGTAAATGCTTGCTGCTTGGCCAACAGATTTATGATGCATTTTTTAGTCCCTCACCACTCTCCTGCATCCTATGTTTTATTCATTCACTTCCCACTGTGCTATTGTGGCTTGCATTCTCCCTCCATATTTTCCCTTCAATCTGCTTCAGGTAGATACTTTCCTTGCTTGTCTTATCTGCTGCCTCAGCTCCTCCTTCCTGCTTGCCTGCTTTCTCTCCTTTCCATCCCTTCCATCTGTAACACAGGGGTTGAGCTTGAAGGATCTACATCTGATTTGCATCTTGCTTCCACAATCTGCTCACTGTAAGAACATAGGCAAGTCCCTTCACACATGTTCCTTACTTCCATCATCTGTGGAATAGATAATTGTGGCTATGTCCTAGAAGGTTCAACTGAATTAAGTCCAAAGACTTAGACTAGCTCTGGTACAGGCAAAGTTTTCAAGAAGCATTACTCATTTTTTTTTCCCAAGCAAATGCTGTATTCTTTTTGTTAAAAATTGTCGTTAGATGGCATTCAAGGTAATGGGGTTCATCATGACATTTTAGATATACAGATACTTGTACTTTGTTAATAATTATTCCCCATTACTACTTTTTCTCATGTAGGTCTTCTTCCTTCCTTCAAATAATCCCTTCCTGCACTTGTGTCATGTGTGTATGCATAAATATGTATTTTAATCTAAATTTTGCATCTAAGAGACATGCAATATTTGTCTTTTTTCCCCAAAATTTTCTCTTGTCCTCTATCTCTTTGGACTCCTTTCCTTCCATAACATTGTCCCCCTTCCACATTTATTACATATATAATATATAGAGATAAATAAAAGAAAGATAAGTGACAGATGGTAAATACAAGGTAATTAGATAAGGCAAGGTAATTAGTAGATAGATGATAAGTACAGGGTAGATAAGATAGATGATAAAGAGATGACAGAAGAAATATAGTAGATAAATAGCTATTATACTTGTGAAGGAAAACATGATACTTGTTTCTTTGAGGCTGGCTTATTTTGCTTAACACGATGTGTTCCAGGCCTGTCTATTTTCCTACAAACAATGTAACTTCACTCTTCTTGATGGCTCAATAAACATTAAAGTGCTGTTAATTTTTTCCAAAATATTGATACCATAACCTCATGTGCTTGTGGATATGACCATAAAAGAAAATGAGGACTTTACATATGTGAGCAAATTAAGATTAAATAAGTAGGGTGGGTCCTAATACACTATGACCATTGTCCTCACAGAAAGAGTATTTGAACATGCAGACATATGTGCACTGGGCTATGAGACCATGAAGAGAGAAGTTACCATGATGCATACACAAGCAAAGCAACACCAAAGATGGTCAGTTGTCTCAATACTGACCTCTGAGGTAAAAGGGTCTGTGTTTTTACCCCCTGAGCCATTGCTTCATTCCACTTTGTTCTTTTTGTATCCTATTGGGAGATTCATTGTTTTGATTAGTTAAATCACCCAGGCTATTTTTTTTAATTTTAATTTTAATTTTTATTATTAGTTACATTTTATTAACTCTGTATCCCAGCTATATCCAGCTCCCTCATTCCCTCCCAATCCCACCTTCCCTCCCTCATCTCCTCCCTGCCCCTTTCCAAGTCCACTGATTGGGGGGGACCTCCTCCCCTTTCATCTGACCCTGTTTTATCAGGTATCTTCAGGACTGGCTGCAAAGTCTTCCTCTGTAGCCCAGCAGGACTGCTCCTCTCTTGGGGAGTGGGGAGGTCAAAGAGCCTGCCATTGAGTTCCTGTCAGAAATAGTCCTGTTCCCCTTACTATGGGAAACCAATTGGTTACTGGGCTATCATGAGCTACATCTGAGCAGAGGTTCTAGGTTATATCCATACATGGTCATTTCACCCAGGCTATTTATTTTGGTCATTTAAGATAGTCTTTACTCTAAATTAATCCCTTCAAATCTGTACTTTTAATACTGCAGATATATATCAGCAGGAAAGTACTTGCCTTGAATACTGTAAGGTTCTGGATTCCATCCCCAGTACTGGAAGGAAGGGAGAGCAGGAGGGAGGAAGGGAAATTGGTATTTTGTATGGAAGTATTTGGACATACCTTACTTTTGGAGATACTTTACTTTCCACTTGTTTTTAATTTATATTAACGAGGACTTTTTTTTTGTATTAACGTACAGAATTAATCACTATATTTATTTTCCAAATTACCAGCATAGTCATGGAACTCTGTCATGCTGACTTCTGGGTTCTTCTGGCATGTTCTCTGACTCTCTGAGCAGCCCCATGCTTTGATACCCCAGGCTTCCCTTGCACATTTCTTTTTCTGTACAGGGATCCCACCACTCTTCAAGGGAGCCTTGGTTCCTTTCGGTGGATAATAGTATTTGGTAGTCAAGACCTGATGCTGGAGGTGCTCAATATGAGGGTCACAACTTCTTCATCCTCTGAGTGGAAGGGAGCAAGGGTCTGTGCATGAAGGTTCCTACAAATACTGTGGTAGTTTCAGTGGGAAATGTACCCTATAGTCTCAAATATTTGAACACTTGTCTCCAGTTGGTGGTTCAGTTCTGGGGAGGTTTTAGGTGGTGCATTCTTGCTTAAAGAAGCAGGTCACTGGAGGTATCACTAGCCCTTGGACTTGGAGATTAAAAAGCCTCCCTGCTTCTTTTTTGCCCTCTCTGCTTTGTAGTTATGGATCAAGATGTGAACTCTCACCTTTGTATTCTAGCCACCATGCTATCTCTACCAGTATGGACTCTTTTTTTAGTTTTAATTTTTTTTTACAATTCATTTATTATATATCCTGACTGAAGCCTCCTCCCTCAGCTCTCCCAGTCCCACCTTCCCTCCCTGTCCCCTTTCCTTAGTCCACTGAAAGGAGGAGTTCTCCTCCTTTGCCATTTGCCCATAGCTTGTCAAGTCTCTTCAGGACTGCATGGATCCTCTTTCTCTGTGGCCTGGTAAGACTGCATCACCAGGGGTGAGTGATCTAAGAGCAGTCAACCAAGTTCATGACAGAGGCAGCCCCTGCTCCCCTTACTCGGGAATCCACATGGAGACTGAGCTGCCAATCAGCTACATCTGAGCAAGGGTTCTAGGTTCTCTTCATGCATGGTCTTTGGTTAGTATATCAATCTCTGCAGGACCCCCTGGGCTTAGATTTTTTAGCTTTGTTGCCCTCCTTTTGGGGCTCCTATCCCCTTCTTCTACAAGAGTGCCTGCGCTCTGCCCAAAGTTTGTCAGTGAGTCTCAGCATCTGCTTCAATTCCCTGAAAGGTGGAGCCTTTCAGAGTAACCTCTGTAGTAGGTTCCCATCTTATTTCCTCTCTTCCACCGCTTCTGATGTCTATCCTGTTTGCCATTCTGAATGAGAATGGGGTCCTCTTTAGTGTTTAGCTTCTTTAGGTCTGTAGATTTTAGTATGGCTATCCTATAGTATATGGCTAATATCTACTTATAAGTGAGTGTATGTCAACAGAACAAAATGACAGCCTACAGACTGGGAAAAGATCTTCATTAACTCTACATCTGGTAGTGGGCTGATATCCAGAATATATAAAGAACTAAAGGAATTAGACACCAACAAACCAAGTAGTCCAGTTAAAAAATGCGGTACAGAACTAAACAGAGAAGTCTCAATAGAGGAATAACGAATGGCAGAGAAACACTTAAAGAAATGCTCAACATCCTTGATCATCAGGGAAATGCAAATCAAAATGACCCTGAGATTTCACCTCACGCCTATCAGAATGGCTAAGATCAAAAACTCAACTGACAACACATGCTGGAGAGGATGTGGAGAAAGGGGAACCCTCCTCCATGGCTGGTGGGAATGTAAACTTGTACAACCACTTTGAAAATCAATCTGGTGCTTTCTCAGAAAATTAGGAGTAGTGCTACCTCAAGATCCAGCTATACTATTCCTAGGCACTTATCCAAAATATGCTTACATATACAACAAGGACATTTGCTCAACCATGTTTGTAGCAGCTTTATTCATAATAGCTAGAATATGGTAACAACCTAGATGTCCCTCAACTGAGGAATGGATACAGAAATTGTGGCACATTTACACAATGGAATACTACTCAGCAATAAAAAAACAATGAAATCATGAAATTTGCAAGCAAATGGATGGAACTAGAAAAGATCATCTTGAGTGAGTTAACCCAGAAACAGAAAGACAGGCATGGTATACATTACGGACTCTTTAAATGTAAGCTTAACTTAAACCTTTCTTCTTTAAGTAACTACGGTCATGGTGTTTTATTACAGCAATAGAAAAAGTAACTAAGCCATACACTGAAGTTTTGTGTTCATACTGAAATGAATACATACCAATATTTAGGATTACAGCTCAACATTTTGAGGCTCTTTCTGCTTTTCTTCCTTTTCTGGCAGCAAGAGACCTGGCTCCTGTTAGGTCACAATTCTTCTGGTTGCGTTCTCTCTCTCCTAGAAATCAGGCCCCACCCTCCAACTTTGGGACAGCATTGTTTAAAAAAAAAAAAAGCTACATTTATAGCCCTTTACCTTTACGCTTGTGAACAAGCTCAAGACGACAGACCTTGAATTGTCTAGCTAGTCTTTATCAGTGTCTTCCTCAATTATGGCAGTAAGCTAGACTAGGTTAGTTTGATGGTTAGTTTTTATTGTCAATCTGACAATAAAAGGGAAGGTGGAACCCTAACTGAAGAATTGTCTTCATCAAATTAGTTTGTGGCCATGTCTGTGAGGAACTGTCTTGACTGATGATTGATGTGGAAGGATCCAGCCCACTGTGAGTGTTGTGAACCCTGAACAGGTCCTGGCCTGTGTAAGAAAGCTAGCTGAGCATAAGTCATGGGGAGCAAGCCAATAAGCAGGATTCCTCCATGGTTTCCACTTGAATTTTTGCCCTGATTTCTTCAGTGATGGACAATTACTTAGAAGTATAAGCCAAATAAACCCTTGCCTCCCTAAGTTACTTTTGATCACGATGTTTTATCACAGCAACTGGAAAGCAAATCAGAACAGCTTGCCTGCCTCTCCTGAAAACTTATTAGAGAAACTTCTTCTGTTTTGGGGATCTGAAGGAAACAGAGGGACCTAGAGATTCCTGTATCTACCCTCAAGGCCCTCATGGCTGCCTGTGGTCATGATACTATCTCTTCTAACTGCTTTCCTATTCAGAACTCCATCATGGATGCCTATGGTCATGATACTATCTCTCCTACTGAGGGCTCCATCATGGCTGTCTATTGTAATAGTACTATCTACTTTCCTATTGAGGGCCTCATCATGCCTGCCTATAGCCATGAGCCCATTACTCTCCTATTAAAGCCACTTTGAAGGATAATCTTATACCTGCTCCTTTCTGTGAACCTCCAGACCCTTCTAGGTCTTTCTGTCTTCCCCTTTTTTTCATAAGATTCCCTGCACTCTGCCCAAAGTTTGGCTATAAGTCTCAGAATCTGCTTTAATACCCTGCTGGGTAGAGTCTTTCAGAGGCCCTCTGTGGTACGCTCCTGTTTCCTGTTTTCTTCCTCTTCCAGTGTCTAAATAGTAACAAACCAAGTAGTCCAATTTAAAAATGTGGTACAGCAAGGAGAGCAACAGAACCAGAAGATTTGAACACAGGGGTCTTCCCAGAGACCCATACTCCAACCAAGTACCAGGCATGGAGATAACCTAGTACCCCTGCGCAGATATAATCCATGGCAGTTTAGTGTCTAAGTGGGTTACATAGTAATGGGAAGAGGGACTGCCTGGGACACAATCTGATAGGCCTGCTCTTTTATCACCTCCCCCTGAGGGGAGAGTAGTCTTACCAGGCCACAGAAGATGACAAAGCAGCCACTCCGGATGTGATCTGATAGACTAAGATCAGAAGGAAGGAGAGGAGGACCTCCCCTATCAGTGGACTTGGGGAGGGGCATGCATGAAGAAGGAGGAGGGAGGGTGGGATCCGGAGGGGAGGAGGGAGGGGCTTATGGGGGGGATACAAAGTGAATAAAGTGTAAAAAAAAATAAAAAAGCCCCCCCCCCCCCAATACGGTACAGAACTAAACAGAGAATTCTGGCAGAGAAACACTTAAAGAAATGCTCAGTGTCCTTAGTCATCAGGGAAATGCAAATCAAAATGACCCTGAGTTCATCTTACACCTATCAGAATGGCTAAGATCAAAAACTGACAACACATGCTGGAGAGGATGTGGAGAAAGGGGAGCCCTCTTCCATGGCTGGTGGGAATGTAAACTTGTACAACCACTTAGGAAATCAGTCTGGTGCTTTCTCAGAAAATCAGGAATAGTGCTACCTTGAGTATATACCATTTCTAGGCATATATCCAAAATATGCTTACGTATACAACAAGGACATTTGTTCAACTGTGTTTGTAGTAGCTTTATTCATAATAGCCTGAATCTAGAAACAACCCAGATGTCCCTCAACTTAGGAATGGATGCAGAAATTGTGGCACATTTACACAACCGAATACTACTCGGCAATTAAAAACAAGGAAATCATGAAATTTGCAGGCAAATGGGTGGAACTAGAAAAGATGATCCTGAGGAGGGTGACCCAGAAGCAAAAAGACACACATGGTATAAGTGGCTGTTAGACATATAATATAGAATAATCATACTAAAATCTGTACACCTAAGGAATCTAAGCAAGAAGGAGGACCTTGGGTAAGATGCTCAGTCTTCATTCAGAGGGAAAAAAAGTTTGCTTTTTGAGAGAACTAAGTGAAGGTCCCATGAAAAATACATTAATCCCTCACTAGGATACCACCCATAATGAGTTAACATTGAGGACCAAGCTCCCAAAACATAAATCTTGGGGCACATTGAAAGCATGCCCAAACCATAATATCTTCTGAGCCATGCTGTATTTATGTGGGGAATCCCCTCATGTCATTTACTCTGGTAGCTCTGGTTTTCTATATCACATAACCCAAACCAACAAGTATGAATGTTCTCACCACATCTGAGCTCTGACTCCCACCCTCCTTCCATCCCCAACTTTGCTCCTCCCCCAGAAGTATCCAGAAGGAACAGAAGCAGAGAGAGAAGAGCAGAGGATAAATGAGTGTTGTGCATACTAACTTCTTTGATCCTAGTGTTGTGTAGCAATTTTTTTCTGAAAGGAAGGCCTATACAACTCAGGAAGCTATCAAACCCACGATGCTTAGGAAGCTTATGAAACTTACATGACCAATGAAGTTCAGACAATTACATGATTCACAAGGTTCTCCAAGGTTATATAAGTTTTAAGCAATTTCTAGAGGTGAGGGTACTCTTCAAGGGAGCTGTCTACAAGTTGTGTAGAGATTTTCCAGTATGTAGCATTCATGCATCATTACACATCTTGGGATGAGCTTTTTGGTAATGCAGCTGCATCTGGATGTAGGCAACCCCAATAAATTCATTGGTTCACTAAGTCAGACTTGGGTGGAATTGTTTGCAGCAGCCAACATATATTATGTCTTTTTAAAAGATCAGATAACACCTGATATCATGTGGATTCTTTTTATTTTTTTTATTTATTCTTTGGCAATTTCATACATGTATACAATAAAATACATACACGTATACATTCATACATGTATATTGAGCATATCCTGACCCAGTTCCCCTTCCTACTTCTGCTGGACACCTCTCAATGCTTTCCCTTCTACCTTCATATTTTCTCTCTCTCCACTGCTAACTGATATTGTTGATTTGATCTTGTGCCCAGAGCTATAGGTATGATGAGTGTATGAGTTCAATGGCCATGTTATGTCCAGAAAATATTTCATAGCATTTTCTCCATCCTTTGGTGCTTATATTCTTTCAATCACTATTCCTTAATGTTTCCTAAGCCTTGAGGGAGTTGAGAGCAATGTCCCATTTAGGACTGAGAACTCAAAAGACACTTATTCTTAGCAGTTTGACAATTTATTGTCCCTGCATTAACAGCTGCCTACTGCAGAGAGAGGCTTTTATAGTCAAGGTCAAGAGCAGCATTAATCTATAGGTGTAAACATAAATATTTAGAAGGCAGTTCAGCAACATAGCTATTTACTAAAACAACAGTGTGTAGGTTCCCCCTAGAGCTTGTTACGTTTGGTATCAAGGGTTCTTGAATACTTCTTCAGGCACATGGCTTACAAAAGACCATATCCATCCTTTCTATCTTTTACTCACTAAAGTCAGGCTTAGATGAGGGTTCAAAATGCTTGTTGGAACAGCAAATGAGTAGAAGCTTCACTCTAATCCTCATTTCAAAATGTACTATTCAATTCCATTCTGGGGATAAAAGAGTTTCAAACTCACACTCTGGCTCTCCCCGCCCATCTCACTCTAGCCAGATGGGGAGGTAGGTAGAGCTCTGATCCCTCTACCGTCTTAGTAGAGATTTTCCATGAGCTATCACAGATCTGTCACAGGGGACTGAGGGAGAGGCCAAGAGAGGCAGGAAGAGTTGACAGAGGATTGAAACAATCAGGAAGCCGGGCTGCTTGCTGCAGGGGAGCAGGAAGGAGGGGCCATCTTGACATCAGAGTTTGGTGAACTCTACCTTCCCTTATGCAGTTTCCCATGGGCCCTGCCTGCATCTTCTTGAGAAAAGGCATTGCTGAGAAGCAGCGGGTGAGGTGGGGATGATGTAGAAGGGTGGCAGGAAGAGCAAGAGGACCTAGAGCATGGGGAAAAGGAAGCAGTATGCAAGTGCTGAGCAACAAGGGGAGCAGGTGTAGAGAGCCTGAACTGAGCTGAGGTAGCACTGTATGTCACAAGAATCAGGAGCAAAGGGGGATGGTGGAGTTAGACAAATGGAAAAGGGAGGTGGGATGGAACTATTGTTAGTAACATTGTTTTATATGGGAAATCATACACTAATGATAGTGATGATGGAAATGGTGATTGCTACGCTGCTGGTGATGGTGGTGATGATGTTGGTGATGACGGTGGGTGATAGTGATAGCAAGATAGTGATGGTGCTGCTGCTGCTTTTGATGATGGTTAGGATGGTGCTGATGATGGTATTAACAATAGCTACTGCTCATTAAGTCTTGCTATGTGCCTAGCCCTGTGCAAAGGGTTTACATGCTTGATGGTATTCAGTCCTCAGGACAGCATATGAGGTTGAGTATAATTTCATTCCTATTTTATGAGGGAGTAAACTGAGGCCATTAAGTCATGGAGTATTTTGCTTCAAGCATATACAGTAAGTGAGTGGCACTATTTTATTTATTTATTTGTTCACTTATTTATTTACTTATTCAGTCGTGTTTGATTATTAGGAGCATGTTCTTTAAAATCACCAGAAACAGTAAGGAAAGAAAGAAGAGGGAAGCAGAGGAAAGATAGAAGATAGAAGGGAAGAGAAGAGAGAGAACACTTACCAGGGAGAGGCAAGGCAGAGCACAGAAGAGAAGACAGAAGAAAGAAAGATAGGGGGAGGGAGACGAAAGAGAGATGAGGAAAGATAAGAAATTGAATGGGAAGAAAATAAAGAGACTCTGAAGTGAGAAGGTCTCCATGAATAAAGTTGATAAGGAGTAAATTCCCAGGCACTATGCCTACTAACTAAGCTTACCCTTAGGTGTACCCATAAGTAGGGAACAATGACCAGCAATTCTTAGATATGAGACTGACACTGAATATTCTTTATGAATCTCCCTGTACACTGGTCTCACATAAGGGGATGCTCATCCTGGGGATGAGGTTGAATGGGCTAGAGTCAGTGGGATGTAGCAGAAAGAATTTGGCATGGTAATCAGGAGTCCTACATCCTACTCCCAGTCCTGTGTTTGACATCTGAGTGACTTAAAAGGTGCATGTATGTCAAAAAAGCAGAAGAGGGTATTATTTCACGGAAGAAACGGGGACTGGGAAGAGAAGAACATGTGCTAGATGTGGTGATGGTGCCAAAGACAGCAAAGGACAATGACATAGATGTGTGACAATGTCACAATATAAACCCATTTTTTTTTTGTTAAAAAATTTATTTTTATAAGGATGAAGTGGCTGTGTATGTATCTTAGCTAGAAGAGTTTATCTAGCCCATATGAGGTCCTGGGTTCAATTCCCAGCAACATACCAATTGGGTATGGTAGAACATATGTTTAATCCCAGTACCTGGGAGATGGAGGCAGGAGCATCAGAAGTCATTCTTGGCTATTAGGCTGAGCTACATGAGATCTGTATCAATCAATAAATAATAAAATAAATAAGTAATGGCCAGTGAGATAGCTTAAGCAGGTAAAGGCACTTGTTGCTAAGTCTGATGAATCACCATCATCAGGATGTTTGAAAGAAAGGACCAATTGCCTCAAATTGTCTTTTGACACCCCACAAGTACTTGGCAAGTGCTTGCATTTCAAAATGATTAAATAAACAAATAAATAAAAGAAAAATAGGACTAATTAATAAGGGCTATATTCTATTTATGAGCTGTGTGATTTTGGTAGTTTCATTAATTTCTCTGTTACCCAGCTTCTCATGGGAAAGATGAGACTATCTGAGCCAACCACACTGATGTGATTCTAAGGCTTAAGTATAATGAAAGGGCTTGCCACAGGCATGCATCTGAACACAGCAGAAGAGACATATTTTGCTTTCTTCCTCAGGAGAAGAGGTTATGACTCCATGATGTTTAGGACAGAGAGGTGGAGTTTAAAATGCAAAGGTAGGAGACAGAAAATGAGATGGGGATGGGAGAAAAGGGTGGTCAGAGAATAGCTAGGGATGGGAGTTGGAACAACGGGCTCATTTGGGGAAATGGGAATAGGATTTCTGACCTTTTCAATCTCCTTCCAGGAGAGACCACTGGGACAGGATGAGATTGATGGTAATTCCTTGCTCAGATGCCTTTCCATGTAGCCATCCATTGCTGCCTTCCCCTCCTGCATTTCTGTGTAAATTCCTTTATGTGAAGATTCCTTTCCCCTTTTCTCCCTGCTCAAATGTAATTTGCACAGTTCATGCTGGTTCATTTTAGGCTCTGTTCCCCAAGTGTTGACAGGTGTCTGTCTCATTTGCATGGTTCCTAGAAACTCAGAAATGATGCAAGTTTTAGAGTGATATAAAATGTTACTAACTCCTGTTACTATTGGATTTTTGGCTCTGACAAACACAGTTAGTTTAAAATGTTTAGTGGAATGTGTAACAGTCTATTTACATGTATGATTCTAATAGGAGACTTGGAATAAAACTATGTATAAATTTTAAAAAAATGTTGCTTTTTTTTTTTTTTTTTTTTTTTGGTTGGTTTTGAGATCCCTTAAAACCACTTAAGAGTCTGAGGACTTCAGTGCTCTCAGGGGCATCTTTTTTAACGGCACATTTTATATATCATTTTGCACTTAGTCCTGATGTGACTTGATGTGCCAGGGTGGGTTGGGAGGGGCTTCCCTTTTCTGAGGAGAAGGGGAAGGGGGAATGGAAAAAGAGGGAGGAAGGGTGGGGCTGAGAGGTGAGGAGGGAGGAGTTTGTCATAGGGATGTAAAGTAAATAAATAAAAATTTAAAAATGAATCATTTAGTTCATTAAATGTATTTTTTGTAGAATCTCTAGTTGTGTCTCATTGATAGTTTCAAGGGATACTAGTCTTACCCAGTGACTTTTACAAGTTGCTCTAAAGCTCTTTTCTCTTAACTTTTAGAGCTCCGGGAAGCATTTCTTGAATTTGACAAGGACCGAGATGGGTTTATCTCCTACAAGGATTTGGGCAATCTCATGAGAACGATGGGTTACATGCCTACAGAGATGGAGTTGACTGAGTTGGGCCAGCAAATCCGAATGAACCGTGAGGACAGGGTGTGGGAGACATGCCTAGAATTAGGGTCAGGGTGGGAATGGGAAAGGTAATCAAATTGAGAGTAACACTTTAAATAGGAAGGTGGTTAACAGGAAAAAGCAGTCTTCCAGAAGGCTGCCCAGACTGTGCTTAGAAAGGCTGCATTTGAAGTGGTTGTTCCACCTTTTATTATTAAAAATGTTAAGGATTTTAAAAAATCATGTGTATGAATATTTTGCCTGCATGTGTGTCTGTGCATCAAGCATATTTCCGACACCTGCAGAGGTCAGAAGAGGGTGTCAGATCCCTTGGAACTGGGATTACATACAGTCATGAGAACAAAACCTATGTCTTCTGGAGGATCAGACAGTGATCTTAATAGCTGAGCTCTTCAGCTTCCCACTTTAAAAATTTAAATTACATTTATTTATTTTGTATGAGGGAGGAGGGGTACATATGAATATAATAACATCTATGTGAAGTCAGAGCACAGTTTTCGGGAGTTGGCTTTTTCCTTTCACCATGTGGGTCCTGGGGATTAAACTCAATTTCATCATGTTGCACAACAAGTCCTTTTTACCCCCTGAGCCATCTCCCTGGCCCATGAGTCCTGCTTTTATTATTTACTCATTGTGGTCATTTTGGACAGTGGAATATTTCTAGAATATTCGTGATTTTCAGTTTCCCCATCTTTCAAAGATATGATCATGGCTTACTTATTCATAATGTAGAAACGAAGGGGTAGAAATGAAGGGGTGCCACTGTGGGAAAGGTCATATTCGCTATGAACCCTTACTGAATGTAAGTTCTTATCAGCAGAGTTCTCTGTAGTGGAGCTTGATGGATGTTGAACATAAATCTGAACTTGGATACAATGTCTCTGAGTAGCGTTACTCAGGGATACGTCATTAAATGAAAATATAATTTGATTCTGTAATTGAAGCCAAAATTAGGTTGTCACCTGAGTATGGATCTGAGTTAACAAGATTGAATTTCATGTCATAATATCAGTTAGGCCCCTGTCTGCTGGTTCCATATCTTCAGGTTCAAGCAAATGCCAACAGAATTTATTTAGAAAAGGAATTGCATCTACATTAAACACATAAGTTCTTTTGGTCTCTCTCTGTTTACTAAACAATACAGCACAGCTGTTATTCACAGAGTATCTCAGATAATGGATAATCTAGAGGTGACTAGAGTATATGTGGAGTATACACACAGTATGCCACTTATGACAGGGACTTGAGCATGGACATGTCATGGATGTCCTGGCACAAGTCTTCCGTTGATACAAAGAGATGACTGTCATCATTTGAAAGAAATGGGTCCATATTTAAATCTGTTGATCTTCTGTTGATCTATTGATGGGGAATGCACAAGCCTCAAACCAATAAGGAATTTGCTGAGTGAGTCTGGACTGATGACTCAGTGGTTAAGAGTGTCAACTGCTTTTGCAAAGGATCTGAGTTTGGATCCCAGCACCTGTTTTAAGTAGCTCAAAGCCATCTCCATCTGATGCCTTCTTCTGGTCTCTGTCGGAGCTACATTTACCTGCACATGCAAATACACACACACAGAGTTTAAAATGAATAAAAATTAAACAGATTTTCTTAAGGTCACCCAGTTATACATATATCCTTTGTTTAATAAGTTCATATTAGAGCAACATAAGAACTTGGCTGAGTAGAGGGAGAAACTCAAAGAAAACCCTTTAGCATGCAGGAGGATGGGAACTCAGAGCCAACCATGCTTCCCAACCATGCTTCTTCCTTAGTTGGTGGCCGTGTAGACTTTGAAGACTTTGTGGAACTGATGACCCCCAAATTGCTTGCAGAGACAGCAGGGATGATTGGTGTCCAGGAAATGCGAGATGCCTTCAAGGAAGTAAGTTAATAACTCCATATTGCTGAGAGAGGGGCAAGGGAGACCTCAAGGGGTTAGTTTTATTAATCTACATATAGTATACTGTCCACCAAAATCAACTTGTTGCAGTTAGATACACTGAGAAGAAGGATCACATAAGTTCCAAACATTTGGCAATATATGTTCATCTGATTTGATCCTCACATACAATATTAGGAGTAATCACACATTAATTCATATCATACATATGAGAAACTGAGGCTAATAGATTACACATGATATTGAATACTGAATAAATGTTAGGGCCTCTAATCTTGGTTACAGCAATAGGAAGGAAGAATCTAAGAGTTTGATATTTTTAGAATGGCAGAGCTGTTCTAGTGAAGTACATTCTAGGACAGGATGCTGCAAGCATAGAGGCTTATATGACAGGAAGATGTTTGTGGAAGGGAGACAAGACCAAGTGCTAGACATAACAAGAAACAGGGGCATGACTCAGTGGCAGAGCACTTGCCTAGAATCCCTCAGTGAAGGGCTGGGGGCATGGCTCAGTGATAATGCCCCTGGCTAGAATGCCCCAGCAAGGGGCTCAGGTGTGGTTTGGCACTAGAATACTGCTTTAGTGAGTGCAAGGCTTTGGTCCTTCCTTAGTTTTCATTTTATTTATATTCTGTTACTCGCTTCTCTGTCTTTCCTCCTCCCTTAAAACCTCTTCTTCCACTCTTTAAAACCTCTTCTTTCACTCTTCTTGTCTGCTTTCTAGACCTATACATGCAAAAATACATACTCAAATTTATATCTAGGTTCCATGTATGAGAAAGAACATCATCTGGTTTTTGGCTTTCTGAATCTGGCTTATTTTGTTTAACACAATGATTTTCAGTATCATCTATCTTCTTACAAATGTCACAAGTAAATTTTTCTATATGGCTGAATAAAATCAGAAAAAATTAAAATACATTAAATATTTAAAATATTATACTTATAATAATTTATAAAATGTAGTGATACATGATAATAATAAAAAGCATAGTGCCATCAAGATAGTTCAGTGTTATCCACTTACTGACAAACCTGATGACCCAAGTTCAATCCTCAGGACTCACATAGTGTGTACTGCAAATTTTTTTCTGACCTTCACACAGGTGCATCGTGGAATGCATGTGCCCATACTTGTATATCCAACATAAACAAACAAACAAACAAATAAATGTAATAATTTGTTTAAAGACTTAGAAAACAAACAAAAGCTAAGAAGAACAAGGAAGCTCCTGGCTATGACGGCTATATCTGTCACACTAGTTAGGATGATGATTCCTTGAGGCTATGCATATGTCCAAACTAATCCAGTTGTATACTTTATGAATCAATTACACCCCAATAAAGATGTTAAAAGTAATGTAAATGCAAATTTGAAAGAAGTCCCATTGTTTTTTCCGTTTGTTTGTTTATTCACTTTAAAGCCTGATTTCAGCCTCCTTCCTCCTCTCTTCCCAGTTCTACCCTTATGTCCCTCCCCCATTTCCTCCTCTATTCTTCTCAGAGAAAGGGAGGCTCCCAACCCACCCTGGCACCTCAAATCACAGCAAGATTAAGTGCATCCTCTCCCACTGAGGCAGACAAGGCAGTCCAGCTAGGGGTAAGGGATCCAAAGGCAGGCAACAGAGTCGGAGACAGCCCCTACTCCCATTGTTAGGGGACCTACATAATGACCAAGCTGCACATCTTCTACATGTATGTAGTGGGCCTAGGTCCAGCCCATGCATGCTCTTTGGTTGTTGGTTCAGTCTCTGTGGCCCAGATTAGTTTACTCTGTAGGTCTTCTTGTGGTTCCCTTAAACCCTGGTTCTATCTATCTTCCTCCCGCTCTTCCAGAGAATTCCCTGAGCTCTGCCTATTGTTTGTCGGTGGATCTCTGTGTTTCTATCAGGTGCTGGATGAAGCCTCTCAGAAGACAGTTATGCTAGGCTTCTGTCTGCAAGCATAGCAGAGTATCATTAATAGTGTCAGGAGTTAACTCTCTCCCATAGGGTAGGAAGAAGACCCATTGTTGATGAGCCAACATTCCAGTAGATGACATGTCTTAAATGCTTGCTTAGATTGGTTCTCTACTTCCAGTGAGTGACTAGAACCCTGACCTTTTCTGAGGCTGTCATTGCCAGTGAAGCTGATCTAGCTGTGTTGCTTCTGTTTAGTTTGATGCCAATGGAGATGGGGAGATCACACTGGCAGAGCTGCAGCAGGCCATGCAGAGGTTGCTAGGGGAGAAACTCACACCCCGAGAGATTGCTGAGGTAGTGCAGGAAGCTGACATCAATGGAGATGGTACGGTTGACTTTGAAGGTAATACACTGGGCAAGAATCCTGTCCCTTCCTCATGTGGTTCTCTAACTCACCCACTCTGTATTCTTTTCAAAGTTTTCATTTGAAGGTGTGTTCTAGTTTTGTTTCTGTTGCTGTAATAAAACATCTTGCTCACTGGCCTTTGCTCATCTACCTTTCTCATGCAGCCCAGAACCACCTGCCCAGGGGATGGTGTTGCCCATAGTGGACTGGGTGTGCCTGTACCAATTAGCAACTAAACAATGCCCCACAGATATGCCCACAGGCCAATCTGATGGTGGCAGTTCTTTAGTTGAGGTTTCCTATTTCCAGGTGACCCTATGTTGTGTCAAGTTGATAATGATTATGAACTAGTACACTGCAGGATCATATCTGAGGGAGGCATAAGTTGGCTACGTCAAGTTTAAATTGTGATAGTCTTTGATTTAAAGTAGTCAACATCTAGCTAATGCCTTCAGGTGGGGCCACAATTTGTAGTCTGTTCTTCAAGTCTATGCCTCTTCAGCCCACCCAATCCTGTCTTCTGCAACCATGATGTGAATTGTTATGCTATGGGGGGAATGTGTTTCCTATTCTGCATCGTTCAGTTTCTCTCTCTCTCTCTCTCTCTTTTTTTTTTTTTTGTTACTCATGTCCTGTCTACTTGTTGTATACGACTTATGTATTTCCTGAGGACACAAGCCTATCACCTTTTGTCAAGAATCTCCCCTCTCCCTTGCCTGAGCACATTAAGCCTGACTGTGAGCCTTACAGGAGTTTTTGCTCTTTTCCATGGAATGTTTCTTGTGTTAGTTTCCATGTTGCAGTACAACTGAGCATCTCTCTCCCACCCTTCCCTCTATAGTTTTTGTGTGTGAGGTCAATGTATAATATGTGTGTGTATGCACACTCACAGAGCTCAGAGGAAGGTTTTGGTTGTCCTCTCTATCACTCTCTATTCTACTGAGGGGTTCTCTGTGATCCTGAAGCTAGGTTGGTACTTATAAGCCCCAGCAATTCTTTTTTTCCACCTCCCAAAACACTATAGTTACAGGTGTACACTGGGATTTTCATGTCAGTACCAGGAATTCAAACTGAACTCCTACTGCTTTTACAGCAAACACTGATCCAGCTATACAGCCATTGAAAGGAGCATCTTTTAAAAACCATGTCTGCCCTAACAAGTCACCAAATAGAAGCTTAGTAAATGTGTTGGTACATGTGAATCAATGAAAGTGGGGAAAATCTATCAGACAGAGCTTTAGGCTAAATATAAGCAATGGAAAGATAGGATGACTTCAAGACATGGTGGGCCTAGCAAGTTCTAAACAAAGTCATGGGCAATCTATTCCTTCAGGGCATTCTATTCACTGTCCACCTGATCTTGAACAGGCCAGTTTCCCTTACTAGCTTCCATTTCTTTTCTGTAAAATGGCACTTCCAGAAGCATTGAGCAATAGAACAAAGGCTAGAGATATAGCTCAGTGGGTAAGAGCATTTGCTGCTCAAGCATGAGGACCTAAGTTTGTATGTCTAGCACCCACATTAAAAGTGTAGGCATGGCCTTGTGCTTGTAACTGGTGGTAGATAAGGACAGAGAGTAAAGGTTCACTGCAGTTCTCTGGCCATCAGATTAACAAAAAAAATTGGTAAAAGAATCTGGAGAGATTGCTCAGTAGTTCAGTGTTGGCTGCTCTTCCAGAGAACTTATCATCTGTAGCAGTTCACAACTGCAGTTCGAGGAGATCCAGTTCCCTCTTTTGTTCTTACTGGGTACTGCATGAATGTGGAGCACAGGCATACATGCATGCAAAACACCAATATGATTAAAATAACAACAGCAACTGTTATGCCCAGTTCGTGAGACCCCCAAAGACCATCAGGAATTGACTCGCTGCAAACACATGAGGCTTTATTATATACATGTTCGAACACAGGACACAAACTTCCTGTGGAAGCAGGAGAGGAATGCCCCCCCCATCCTCCTGGTCTAGGGGAACAAGGTTTTTAAAGGGCAAAACTACAAGCAGGGACTTACATGCTTTGGATTTACATGATTGGGTAAGGGAAATTGACTCTTGAAATGATTGGTTTACTTTAGGTGCCAAGACTATACATGGTTCTGGCCTGGCCATCTGGGCTGGTTTCCTAGCAACTGTATCTCTAGTGGGTGGGGAAAGAATGCAGTAAAGCTAGTTCCTTTCCACAGGTGTCTGGACATGTCTCTACCTGGCTGGCCTTTGTTCAGGCTTATAAACCAATACCCACTAATTTTTAATTCTTTGCTCTCTTGCAACAATAATAACATCAACAAAAACAACAACTAATGAGTCGCAGATTCAGTGAGAGACCCATTCTCAAGGGAATAAGATGAGGAAGATTAGAGAAGGGCACTGGGCATTTTCACTGCCCTCCACATGTGCATGCACATGTACACATGTATCTGTACATACATTCATATAACACACACACAAGAAAAAGAAAATATGGAATAAAGTTCCAATAATTTCTATTTATAAGCACTGAGTATGTTTTATGAACATTTTGTCATAGAGAGTTCAAGTCATTTTCTAAAGATTAATGTCACTGCCTGAAACACAGGAAAAGCTCCCCAAAGTAACTCCAGTTGCTTTTACAAAGAAGAGCCTCACAGGAGTTTTTTTTTTTTTTTTCCTCAGAGTTTGTGAAGATGATGTCTCGTTGAAGAAGTAATGAGAGCTCCAGACACATGCTGCCTTGTGAACATGGGTCAAACACTTGTAGAGGACTGGATGCTCACGAGCCCTTGAAGGATAGAGGATGGGAGTGGACTTGCCACTGTGTGGACTGGGGTGCAACTGCAAATAGTTGCTTTGTTTCTTGGGAAGAGAGACATGCATAGAATTGAATTTAGAAAGAAGACTCTATGTACATAAATATGAATTATACTAGGATCCAGTGCTACTCAAACATCCCAGAGGCGATGGCATCTTTCTCTAATTCTGTGTTTCCCACCAGATTCTCCTTCCATGCCTCCCTTAAGAAAAGTTGGTGTGGGAAACTTTTTCATGGTCTGAAAGAAAAAAAAGAAAATCTTTCGAAAAGTTCCACACACAGCCTACCTTTTCCATGGCTACTCTACCAACAACTCAGTTTCCTTCTCTTGGCAAGAGAATGTCCTACCAGTCACAGGGTTATAATGGGAATCCTGCTAACAGTTTGGAAATGCCCCAGGAAGAAGGCGTTCAAGGTTGAGTTTTTTACTTTCCCAGAAGCTCAGTCCATTGCTTCCCTGTAAACACCCATGTCCCCTTAGGGTGAGATAACCTGGGGGAACTCAGCTAAACATCAAATCTGGATTATCAAGGTTTAAAGAAAGCTGATCCCTAGGGGTACTTAATCCCCTGAAAAATATCAAGAATGAAAGAGGTGGGGGGATCCCCCAAATCCCTAGTTTAGCCAGGTGGTTAGAAATTGCAATGCTATTTCCAGAAGCTCCTGTACTGATATGCCCTGGGCCACTCCAGGTAAGTCTCTACCTTAGGTGGTTTGTGGATTCCATCCCTCACATACCAACATGAATCTAGAGATTTCAGCCACCTTACCCTCAAGATAAAAAAATTTGTGCCATGCCTTTCTCCAAGCTTCTCTTGCTTTGATGTCCATTAGGTAGAACTACAGACTGTCATTTGATCTCTGGTCAAATAGCCTCAATTTATATGACTGAAATAAAGTAAAAGTCAAAGAATATATCCTATCCTCTTTGCCTCTTGTCTGTGGTTGTTTATATTGTGTCACTATCCAGCAACAACTTGATTTTCTTTTAGTGTTTTTTTTTTTTTTTTTTCTTTTAGTATTTATGTAGCAATTTTCTTTGAATTGAAACATTTCAACCCAGAGGAAAGCTTGTTAAGACTCGGGAAATTCTAAAGGAGTCTCCTTAAGACTCATGAAATATGAGTCTGGAAAGATGCCTCTACAGTTCAGACCACTGACCTGTAACTTTTCCAGAGGTTGGATCTTGATTCTTAGCACCCACATGGTGCCTTATAACCTTCTGTGACTTTAGTTCCAGGGTATCTGTCTCCCTTTCTTGGATTTTGTGGGAACTTCATGCATGTAGTTCACATGCATATGTGCAGACAAAACATCCATAGACATAAAAAAGGAAGATTGAGGATATGGCCATGGCATTTTTGGGAATGACAATCTTGAGGGAGATAAAGTGAGACAGGGAGATGATTATAGGGCATGATCAGCCTATCAGAATGATTCTCCTTTTTGAGCCAGCCAATGGCTCTTCAAATAGGGGTGGGGCCTCAAGGAGTCCCACTCCTCCATCTGCGCTGCAGTTATGACTGGCTGATCTTATGCAGGTAAACATAGCTACTATGAGTTGATGCAGAAATCAGCATTTCACAGTTCTCTTTCCCATCCACCAGCTCTTACTTTTTTTTTTGAGGCAGGCTTTCTTTTCTTTGTATAGCTCCATCTGTCCTAGACTCACTTTGTAGCAAACTCACAGAGATGTACCTGCCTCTGCCTCTCAAGTGCTGGCATTAAAGGTGTGTGCCACCATGCCCAGCCAGCTTTTATATTTTTTCAATTCCTCTCTTCTATTATATTCCCTGAGCTTCGAATGGTGGGCTATTGATACAGATGGCTCATCCACAGCTGAGCACAGTTATTTATACTTATCACTTTGGCCAGGTGTGAGTCTCTGCATTAATCACTACCTACATTAAAAAGACGCTTCTCTGACCAAAGTAAAATCTATTTATATTTACTAATATTTAGAATGCAGTTTAGCAGCATGTCCATTTTGTGAAATAACAATAGGTTTCCTTCTAGAGCTTATGATTTCCCCAGTCATGGGCTTTTGACCAGGCCTGCCAGCAATGAATTCCCTCCTACAGTGCAGGCTTCATAGTCTAACAGTAAGCAGTTGGCTACCCCTATAATGTCATGCCACGATTGTACCACAGAGTACATCTTGCCAACAGATCAGTATTGTAGTATTCAGTGTCCATTGCTGGGTAAAACTACTGATGGATGGGCAGCATTAATTAGACTGAAAGTTATTAATAACAAACAATAAAAGAGGACATGATTGAGAAGATAATGGGGTGAGGTCATTAAAAAGTGTTGGATATGATCAATATACACTGAAAAGATGTTTGAGCTATCAAAGAATAAATATATTTGTTGGTATAATGTTCTTGTGGAATGTATAGAGTTTACCCTTGTTCATTTAGATGCTGATTTCTCTACCCCACTATCTGGTTTCAATCTGGACAATGTCTCAAGTTTGTGTAAACATGCCACTATTTGTTCTCTGTATTTTCAATTAAACAGCTAGCTAGTGCTGAGCAATGGAGAGAATAGGGTGGGGCATTCTGGTCCTGAGGTAGGAGAATGAAGTGAGTAGGAGGGCAGAGAGCAGAGTTTGGCAGGAGAGAACTTGGAACAATGAGGAGAGATGAACCTGTCCTAAGATATGACTAAAAGCAAGTATAATGTGTAAAATCGGAATGGTAGGAAACTATGCAGCTTGGAGGTTTAGGATGGACTAATCATTGTCCAGCATTGTGCTCTAGGTTAACTAAGTAAGTCCTAGTCTGTGTGGTAATTTAGGTATACAGCTGGTTTAGGAGTAACCACTGCTTAACTAAAAGCTAAATCAATAGTAAATATTAATATTCAACAACATTATTTAAAAATTAAATCAAAACAACATACACACACACACATGCGTACACACACACACACACACAAACACACACACACACACACACAGAACCCCGTATTTACCATGTCTCTTGTTCAAACAGAGTTGACTTAAGGCCTTTGATGTTATACCATACTTTGCTCCTGGCACAAAAAAATCCACTTGATGAAGCAGTATGTTAAGCTTTCTTGTCTTAGATAGACTTAACTCAGGAATTAGGGTGTCAGACATTCATGGTCACACAAAGCTCGAGATTCTTGTCTCATGAACCAAAAAAAAAGAAATCCATAATCATCAGAGGATTAGTTTCATTTTCAAAAGAGGGCCCCCAGAAGAAAGAATTAAAGATTTAGCACAGAGAGAAAACAATGGTAGCAGGGCCTTCTAAACGTCGCCTAGCCAAAGGGTTTCCTAGGAAGCCAGCCAGCCTGTGACACTGGCTTTCCTCCAAACCCTACACTTTGTCTTATTTGGCCATATTAATAATCTCATGCCCAATAACAACAAGGCTCTCTATTTTCCTTCCTAAGTGTCCAAGACCCCACTGCTTTAAACTCTAGCATCCCCTTTAACTCCAACTGGTCTCTCTCACACACACATATTTGAGAAAGGATCTCACTATGTAACTTTGGTTGGACTTGAACTTGCTATGTAGACAAGGCTAGCCTAGAACTCATAAAAATCCTTCTATCTCTGCTCAAGTGCTGAGATTAAAGGTGTGCACCACATTCAGCCCCACATGTTCTATCTATCTATTTATTTATTTATTTATTTATTTATTTATTTATTTATTTATTTATTTATTTATTTTATATCTCAATCATAACCCCTCCCTCCTCTCCTCCCAGTGCCACCCTCTTTTCTTCCCCATCATCCCCCACCCCTCCCTCTCAGAAATCGCCTCCCCTATGCTAGCATATCAAGTCGTATCAGGACTGAATACATCCTCTACCACAGTGGCATGGCAAGGCAGCCCTGCCAGAGGCAAGTGATTGAAAAGCATGCAAGAGAATCTTTGTCAGAGACAACTCCTGCTTCTCTTACTAGTGAACCTACAAGAAGATCAAGCTGTCCATCGTGTACAAATGTGTAGGGTGCCTAGGTCCAGTCCATACGTGGTCCTTGGTTGGTGTTTTAGTCTCTGCAAGACCCCCTGTGCCCAGGTTAGTTGGCTACCAACATGTTCTTAGAATAACAATGCAATATTTAATGCTGATTAAATTGGAAAGATGAGCAAATGATGATGAAGCAGGTTCCAGCCTAAGTGCGATGTCTCCATCTGTATACTTCTCCCTGAGAAGTTAATGAATAAGGATGCAGTGGTTTAAAGTCCAACTATAATTCATAAATAACATAATTTGAGTTTTTTTACTGTGTCCCTAAAAAGTTAAAGTTTATAATGAAATTTGAAAGCTGGGCATTAAAATATTCTTGGTTTTAGCCACAGACTGGAGACCATTGTGGGAATTAAAAAAATAATTAGATATAAAATGAGTAAGATGATATTTGGATGGTATCTGGATGGTATGAATTCTGTGACTACCTTGTTTTGGCAGATAGTGGGGAAGAAACAGGGCACGCCTCCAGTTTACTCCATTATCTGAAAATGTTCACAGAAAGGGGAGAAGTTAAGAAACAAAACCAAAAAAGGCATTTTACATCTACACAGGCTTACCACACTTTCTTGCCCTGAAAATCACCAACACACTACAGCTTCCACGCAAATTCTTGTTTGTGTATTATTTCTATCTTACTTAGAAGTGAGAACTAAGGCTTTCAGTTCTGGTACAACTTACTGTCCATATTAACATGCCTCTGCTCTAGGTAGCCTTCATCAGCAGGACTCTACTAGTCTAGAAAAGTCTTTTTGGAGAATATGAAATTTACAAATAGCTTTTTACCTTACTCCAAGAGCTTTCTCAAAGACCAGTTAAATTAATAAATGATGGTTTGTTTTATCAGCATAAATTCACATTGTTACAAATGATGCAATTTGTTTATTTTTAACCCCATTTTTCATTTATTTATTTTCAGTTTGTATGTGTGTCTACATATGTGCCTCTGCGTGTGTGCAGAGGTCAGAGGAAAACTTGTGAAAGTCAGTTCTCTCCTTTTATCATGTAGATCCTGGGGTATTGAACTCAGGTTGTCAGCCTTGGTAGCAAACATTCTTACCTGCTGAAGCATATCATATCATCTCATATCATCTCATATCATCTCATATCATATCATATCATATCATATCATATCATATCATATATCATAATATCATCTCTCTCTCTGTAATATATATAAGTGAAAATGATGAAATTCAAATCACCAAGTTCCCAAGGAATCCAGAGCTAGTGGGGACTTTTCATTTATTTAGTGACTTCTGCTGACTATAATCTAAACTTTCATGCTTGCTAGTTTTTTGTCAACTTGACAGTCATCTGGGAAGAGGTAGCCTCATTTTAGAAAATGTTTCTATCCAATTGGCCTGTAGGCAAGTCTTTGGGAGGCATTTTTTTGATTAATTATTGATGTAGGAGGGCTCATCTCATGTAAGTGGTGACACTCCTGAGCAGGTAGGTGGTCCTGGGTTGTACAGATAAAAAAAGCAGGCTGAGAAAAGCATGGAGAGCAAGCCATGGTTTGTGTTCCTCTATGGCCTCTGCTTTAGTTCTTGCCTGCAGGTTTGTAGAGTCTCTGGCCTGACTTCTCTCAGTGATGGAGTATAGTAGTTGTAATTGTAAACTGAAATAAACCCTTTTCTTCCCTGGTTGCTTTTGGTCATGTTCTTTATTGAAGCAATAGAAAGCAATCTAGAACAACACTCAGATAAATTGGAATAATTTGTGATCAACTTTGTGGATCTCAGGAGCTTGGATAACATTAACAAAAACAAAACAGTAACAACAAACTTTGCCCTGAAGTATAGACTGATGTTGGAGTTAAGATAACTTAGGGTTTGAAATAGACTTAAAAGTTTACACA